TGTCAGAGACAGTGCGATTGGCACAGGACAGAGCAGAGTTTAGGGCTGTTGTTGTACACAGGGTCACTATGAGTCGTAAGCAACTCGACGGCACATAACAACAATAGCCATCTATTTTTTTCAGTCCAAAATTTCAAGTTTTAATAAAGAAAATTCTCAGCATTAAATGATCAACAGCTTCCTTTATGATTTTAAAAAGATCTTATAGTGAAAATATTGCTTGCACAATTAAATTGGCACAATCTAAATAAGATATGTTGTTGTAAAGTACCATTGAGTCGTAGATGACTCATAGTGACCATATGAATGAAAGATCTGAACACTTGTATAACTTTGTTTCTCCAAGTTCATAGGGTTTCCAAAGGTAAGCTGTTTTGACAGTGGATGCCACTCCTGCTTTCAAGTTTGTTTTAATCGAGGAGCTCCACCACACACTGTCCACCATGGTTAACCATTATCACATTTGACACATCAGTGTCACAATGTTCAACATCATAGCAACCTCTGTATAGCAAATGGGCAGACCAGTGCTATACCACTTAGAAGACAGTTTGACCAAAAACAATTAAAACCAGGCTTGAGGGTCACAGGCTGGAGGGCCCAACTGAATTTAAGAACCAAGGCATAGTTCAAACTCCTTGAGGTCCATGATTCCACTTCCTCCGTAATCAAGCATTCCCATTGGCTCTCAGCACCCCAAAACACCCATCTGGGAACATTCCCTTTTTTCCTCAATCTTCTCCTATTTTGATGTCACATGTTTCTTCATATAGTCTAACTTCTTGAATGATCTTTTGAGCATATAGACTGAATACACATGAGGAAAGGATACAGTCTTAATGCGCATCTTCATTGATTTTAATCCATTGTGTATTCACTTGCTCTGTTTGGATAACAACTTCTTGATTTAGGCATAGATTTCATGTTGTTGTTGTTAATCATCGTCAATTCATGCATGACTCCTAGTGACTCCATGAATAAAAGACCTGAGGCCTTTCTATAACTATCTTTTCTCCAAATTCATAGTTTCCAGAGGCATGTGGTTTCAAAAGTGGATGCTACTCCTGCTTCCCAACCTGTCTTAAAACTGGGAGCTCCATCAAACACTGTCCACCATGGGCAACCATTATGGCATTTGAGACCCCAATGGTAAAATGTTCAGCATCACAGGAAACCCAGATTACCTCAGCATAACAAATTGACAGAAGAGTGCTATAAGACTTTGAAGAATGTTCCTCCAAAATATAGTAGAGACAAAAGCAAACTGTACCCCACCAACTCAACATTAATAATCCCCAGACTTGTAAAATATCTTTTGTTTAAAAATCTATTGAATTGAGGGAAATGTTTTAAATGTCAAAATATTAAATAAGCTGATTGTAATTTTTCATATAAAGCACCATAAATCTGAAAATTTTACAAAATTGTTCAAATATGTAAGGGGCAATTACTTATTACTTATATCCAGTTTGAGTGCAAACACAGTACCTCCAAAATTGTTAATATTTAAGATCTAAATAGGTTCCAACTTAATATTACAAAGATATAATAAACACTACTTTTAAGTTTTTGTGTGCAAGCCATCTATCTACCTTTTCAATTTAAAATTTGTTTTGCTTTATTTTGTGGATGGCAGTTTGATCATTAATTAATTCCAGTTAAAGGTATTTTATACACAACATAATAATGCACCCTAGCCAACAATTTTAATTACTTCTTGAACAGCTGAAGTTAACAAGAAGCTATCTTTCTTTTTCATATTTTAGTGTAGAATTGTGTGCAAATTCTTTTTGGGAATATAAAATTATTTTTTAAGTGTTCTTATCAGCCCTCTCAATAATTAAGGCTAATCTAAAATATGCCATTCTAGCTTCAGTAAAAAATTTGTGAAGTTAGATGAGTGCATACAGAATTGATTTCTTGGTTTGCGAATCACTATTGCTGTGCTATTTTTGAATGCCATTTTTTCGAATCACTTGGTCAGTGCCATGACAATTAAACAGAGAGAAATATCTGTCAGTATTGTGATAAATAGAAGAAGTTGCCTGTCCTGGAGGCCTAGGAAGTCAGGGTGGGAGACTTGGCCTGGTTTCAGATCTGGGGAGTTGCCGCTACTAGCCTAACTCTGAATAGCTAATATAGTTATTCACACTACTAACAGGAAACCTGGCCAGCTGTAGTTCTCAATGTCATATACTATCTACATTTATATATTTAGGTTTTACTGTATACATTTTTTTTAAAAAAGTCTGTGTGTTTTAGTTTCCATATGAAACATTTGTAGTTTTCTAAGGATTGTAGGTTAGGAAAAAGAAAGACTAAGAAAAGAAGTTCAGGGGGACAAATTAAGATTATAGAGTATCATTAACTATAGCACTAGCCAAATATTTTAATTTAGAAGATTTTATATATAAAAGCAAATGCACTTCCTTTCTAATATCCATGTTATGCCATGATATAGTCACAGCAACCAGTGTATACAAAATACATTTTTCATAATCTGCTCAGTTATTCGTTGAATACACCACTTAGAATGAAAAGATGTGATTACAACAAACAATATAAATATTGTATATGAGAAATGTGCTCATGATGATGACTATTTACAAGAATCTCTGTTTACATTAGCAATAAATAGTCCTGCTATCAAAAGAAAGAATGCTCATGCACATGACAAGAAGGCTGCATGTTGTTAAAACATGTACATGTTGTCTCATTGTGCCAGTTTTCTCATTTGTTCAGAAAGAGTGTGTCTCGTAATTGTCTCCATGACCCCTTTAGTCCTGTTTTGGGGGCTGCAGCCCTCCATTTCCATGACTCTGTCACCCTTCATATTTGTTTGTATCCTTACTTAACGTTCTTTATGTACTGTTCAGAAGAGCTTATTGTCTTAATGCCTTTTCCACCACAGAAGACCCAGTTATCTCTAAAGATGAGATTTGTAACGTATACTCCCCCATTCAGCAATGAGCCGCTGTGCCTTGTCATTGAATTTGGTTGCTCCATCATTGTATGTTTTCATTAAGACCATGGTTCCAACTTGTATGGACTTAAGAAAGTCAATAAACAGGGTCACATCTCCCTACATGCCAAAATATTTAGTATCTCATACTTCTTCAAGACATAATGCATGTGTCTCGGAGATTGTGCAGCCGCAGTGCTCTTTGGAGGCAAAAACGATGAGGATTCATCTCACATACTTCGGGCATGTTGCTAGGAGGGCTATTCCTTGGAGAAAGATATGATGCTCAGAAGGGTTGGGGGTTGGCAAAGAAGAGGAAGGCCCTCAACAAAATGGATTGACACAGTAACTGCTGCAGGGGGCTCTTGTGTGCCAGGAAGTGTGAGAACGGCACAGGAGAGCAGAGGGTTCAGATCTTTGCTTTTGCCTTTCTTTTTGCCAAAAAAAAATCTATACCCAAATAATCAACATATAACTGACCCTTCAGTGAGTTTTCAGAGTCTGTAAATGACATGGGAGGAGAGTGTCCACATTTTTCCTTAAGAGCCACTAGTGGAACTGCAATAGAGTCACATGATCAGCCCAAACTCAACGTTAGAAATGAGTGAGATAAGCTTTATCTCCTGCTGTAAAGAATGACACAGAGGGAACAGAGTCAATTTAAGAAGTCATTATTGAGGGATGGACTAGAGTTTATATGTGACCAACCAACTAACCCACCAACCAACCGTAAATATTGACAGTCTTGCTAGAAAAGAGAAAATTCTTTCATGTACCACTAATTTCCATTCTCTATATTTCATAATGCAAATTGACTTTCCAAGATTAGAAAATGTCACTGAGGGCAGGCCAAAATCTTAGTCATCTTGAGTTTCAAACTTTGAGTCAATAGTAATGAATATACTTAGTAAATATTTGCCAGCACATATGTTGAGAAGTTAAAAGAGATACCGATTATCTTACGCCATTGGATTTTGACATAATAAAGTCATATTTGTAAGATATTTATCTTTGAGAAAATTTTCCTACTTTTTTAATTCAAAGATTCCCTGGTTTTACAGCGTGTAATGTGTTGGCTTGTTAACCACCAGGTGGATGGTTCAAGTCCACAACATACACTGTGAGAGTAATATGAGCATTCTCTTCTATAAAGATTTATAGCCTCATAAATAGGATGGAGGGTCAGCTATGGCTGGAATTAACCCAGCAACAATTTGTTTGGTTTTGGTTTAAGTACTTTATTTTATTCTGTATATGTGGTCTATGGATTGAGGCTCAATGTCAAGAAGACAAAGATTCTCACCACTGGGCCAATTGGAAGCATCAGTATGGATGGTGAAGAGATCGAGATTGTTCACAGCTTTAGTTTGCTTGACTCCACAGTCAACACTCTTGGCAGCAGTAGCCAGGAAATCAAAAGGCACATTGCCAAGGAAAAGTCTGCTGTTAGAGACCTCTCCAACGTACTGAAGAGCAATGCTGTCTCTCTGGAGACTAAGGTGTATCTGATACAGGACATGGTCTTCACAATCACTTTTTATGCATCAGAGTTGGACAATGACCAAGGAGGACAGAAGGAGAATTGATGCCTTTGAGCTGTGGTGCTGGAGAAGAGTATTGAGAGTACAATGGACTGCTAGGAAAACAAACAGATTCATCCTGGAAAAGGTTAAACTGGGCTGATCCTTGGAGGCAAGGATTCTGAGGCTCCATTTAACATACTTTGGACATGTTGTAAAGAGAGACCAGTCCTCGGAAAAGGACATCATGCTTGGGAGGGTGGAGGGACAGCGCAGGAGGGGAAGGCCCTCTATGAAGTGGATTGATTAGTGACTCGGGTTATCAGGATAGGAGTGTCAGAGACAGTGTGACTGGCAGAAGACACAGCAGAGTTTAGGGCTGTTGTGCATAGGGTTGCTATGAGTCGCAAGTGACTCGACGGCACACAACAACAACAACAACAACAACAACAACAACAACAACAACAATATGTGGTCTAGGCTCAAATCAGAGTTGTTTTTTTTTTTCCTTAGAAAATAAAACAAAAAACATTCGTGTGTGAAAATTTATCTTTTTAGTTGGTTCCTGCAAGCATTTAGGAATAATATAGAAATAAAAAAAGTTTGAAAATTTTCCAACCTTTCTCATTTCTAAGGGGAACATAGTGCCCAAGAAACTTTGCTATCTTTCAGAAACCTTCTGAATCACCTTCTTCTCTCTCAATGAAATCGTTTCATTTTGGAATCAATCACAAATCACTCAAGGAAACTTCTGGTTTTTGTTACTTGACCTCTACTCTCTAGGTATGGGTTCTTCTCCGCTGATTACCAGGAAGGAATTGGAACATCGAGAAATGGAATTGATATGTTCTTCAGATGGGTGGTTTCCTCAGCCTCATGTGCAGTGGAGAAACATGGAAGGAAAGGTGATACCCTTATTAAATGAGGTCCTGTCTCAAGACAGTGATGGGCTATTCCATGTACAGTCATCTGTATTGGTCAGAAATAAAACCATCGTGAATGTGACCTGTTCAATCACCAACCTCCTTCTGGGTCAAGAGAAAACAGCAGCTTTTTCTCCTTCAGGTTGGTTATACCGTACACTTCCTTCATTGAGAATAAATATGAAGGCCAAACTAGATGGACTAGTTTTATTGATTTTTTTTTAAAATTTAAAAAAAATTTTCTAGTTTATTTACTAAATTCAAATACATTGTTTTCAAGAACAAATTCTTTCAATTTCCTTCTTCCCCTTACCCATCAAATCGTAAAACCCCATGATTAATCCTCCCTATCCTTGAATATCCGCATTCCTTTGCTTCCAGCTTCTCCTACCCCCCTTGGATCCTTCTACTCATCCTACAATAATGGTTTTATACAACATTTATTCTTAGTTTACTCAGCAAAATGCTCTCCAGTCCTTCCCAAGTTAGGTAATAACTTATAAAATCATTGCTCCTGCGTCATGCATAATATTCCATTGTGTGAATGTGTCATAATTGATTTTTAAAGATTATTTTCTTCAGAGGAAATATCCACAACACGTCTTAAGGAAGTTTAGAGATCCTACTCTTCTGAGTATCTCCCTCATATTCCCAAATAGAGTCTTAAGAATCTTATGATGAGTTTACAGTAAATCTTAATGATCAATTCTATTTTCCTTATGCCAACATATTCTCCTCTTCTTCTAATATTAAAGCACTATCACAATTACGTCCTCACCCCATCCCACAGCTAGTGTGTTTTCTCCTGGATGAAAAAAGAATTTTCCTTAACAGTATCTTTATGGTTGTGGTCTTGGTAATTTTTCCTTTTTTTATGCCAATTATCCCAGTCATATGATGGTGTAATTGGAAAGGAGAGGAAAAATAATGTGCATGTGTGTATTTCTAGGAGAAAACCCCAATAAAACTAGGTATACATTTATAGCCTTTAGTCAACTTCTAGAGGGCCTCTTTGACAGGCTACCTACTCTCTTTTTAGTCAAGGTGCTGATAAGGTAAAAAGGACAATTTTTATTTTCCCCAGTCATGATTTAATGAAATATTTTATTTCAGAGTTCAGAATGTCTTATTTATGGACGATATTACCTGTTTTGGCAATACTGCTTGTTTTGGGGGCTGTAAGACTGAAAAGAAAAGAGAACTATCAAAAAGGTAAGTTAGATAAACAGAAAAATATGGAGTGTGATTTGCTATGGGAATATTTCTAGTTATTTTCTCTTGTCTCTCTTTTTTGGCAGTTACTCATTAGAGACATTAAATCAAGAGCTAATAACTCACAAAATATGTAGAAGGTCAGAACTTACATTAATATCCTTAGGGATGAATGTCAAATAAGTTTAGACTGTATTTTAATAATAGAAGTAAAAGGATTCAAACCCAGTGATTTGTTCACTTAGTGTTCATTCCCAAGATATTTTTTTTTGAACTTTTTATTTACTTGTTTGCCTCAATATCATCTATTTTCCCCCCTCAGAGGCCTTTCCTCAAAACACCACCACCAGCAGCACCACCACCAACAACCAAAACAACGATCATTCCTGGGATGGATCTTCTTTCTTTTTAGCGAAGGTGATATTGGATCCAAATACAGCTCATCCAGAACTCATTCTTTCAGAAGGAAACAAATGTGTGACCCATGGACATGCCTGGCAGGAGCTTCCAGACCTCCCACAGAGGTTTAACTTCCTGCCATGTGTTTTAGGCCAAGAAGGGTTCACATCAGGGAGGTGGTACTGGGATGTGAATGTTGAGAACAGTACTGATTGGTGCTTGGGTGTTGCTAGGAGTGATGTCACGAGGAAATGTTCCATTTCTATGTTACCTGAGAATGGGTTCTGGGCAATGGGTTGTTATGGAAATCAGTACTGGGCCATCACCTCTCCTCCAATCCATCTGTATCTGGCTTTGGCCCCCAAACGTGTCAGAATTTCCCTTGACTATGACTCTGGACAGCTCTCATTTTATAACATAAACAGCAAGAGACATATCTATACCTTTCCCAAGTGTTCATTCTCTGGAAAGTTACACTCATTTTTCCTTCTTTGGTCTCCTGATGTCGATTCTCCTGACATTTTCCCTGCACTGAGGCCATTCTCTGTCTCTTCTACAAGGAAAACAGCAATCTTGGATTTTGGAAACCAGAGTGGTATTCCAAGACCCAGCTCTTTACAATTTTCACCACTTGCTCGAAGGTGGCTGACAAGATCATCAGAGAAGCAAGGCAAGAGTTTACCCAGGCTGCAAATTTTATCTGGAAACTGATTTTTTTTTTCCGTAGATTTACCCTAATCCAGGATCTCTGATATCCTGTCTGTTGATCACAATCTGATAACCAAAGCTTTTAGAAAATACGAAATGAGATGCAATTTAGCCAGAGGAGAAAATACACTTGAATATTTAAGCCTTCGATTAGTTTCTTTGGAAACAAACTCGCTGCCATTGTCAGAGCTGACTCAATGACATAGGTGATCCTACAAGTGGGTTTCCACATGCTAAAAATTGCATGGGACGACATTGCCTATCTTTACTCTTCAGAGTTAATGCTAGATTTAAACCACCAGCGTGGCACCACTGTTGGGATAGGAGCGTAACTCCCTATCATGTAGGCCACCAGAATTCTCTTTATATCTCTGATTCAATGTTGAAAATAATGAAATGTTGTAGTACAACTGCTGTAAAGATTTTTTTATTTTTTTAATTTTATTTTGATTTATTTATAAAGTTTGAATACATTGTTTTTTTACAAAAGATCCTTCCCATTTCCTTTAGAAACAGAGTGGAGTTTTTGAGAAAATTACTCGAGGATATAACATATGAAAAATTTTTAGTCATTCTAGTCCAAGAAAGATTAGTTATGTGGTATGTATGTAAAAATATCAATGTTATTTTCAGAGTAAAATAAAGCCAACATTTTAAAGTTAGTAATGGTGAAATAAAAGCAGGAAATGCTAAATACTATAAAGAATATTTTAGAGTCATAATGGTTTAGGGAGAAATCAGATGTGGAAAAAGATATAATGTAAAATGAAAACTTAGAGCCTTAAAATCTTCTGAGAGGAAGAAAACTCTACAAATGACACTCTACTGCTTTTTATTAATGTAGACTTAACAGAGTTATTATGTGTTGCCTTCAATCAACTTGCCTATTTATTAATTTTGCATCTGTTTCCTTCCCTTTACATTCCTGTTAATCATCCAAGATTGATTCTATCTTTATGTAAAACTTTCTTTAACTTTTTATATTATTAGTCTTATACACGTCCTAAACAACATGTCCCTGGAAACTCTATGAAGCTGATAAATGACAATAGTTATTCAAAGGCTTCAGGCCTTTTATTCACAGGGTCACTATGAGTTGTGCTTGACAGGATGGCAATCAACAACAACATAACATAATTAAGGAGCTCTGGTGGTATAGTGGTAAGTAATTGTGCTGACAATCCAAAAGCATGTGGTTTGAATCCACAAGCTGCTGCATGGGAGAAAGATGGACAATCTCTTCCCATGTGATTTACAACCTCTGGAAACCCAATGGAGTGTCAACAGCATACAACAAAAACAATATACCATAGTTGTCCTTTTTTTTTTTATGTGTGTGTACTGTCAAATCAGATCTGACTGGTACAGGAGGCGATTGTTCTTCCTTCTTCAGCAGAGCATCTGGTGGATTTGAACCATGCACCTTTGGGATTGCAGTGCAGCTTTTTGCCACTAGGCCACCAGAATTCACCAATTGTCCTTTTTTTAAAAAAAATAATTTTAATGAACATTTACAAGAATTTGGATTTCCATTCATTCATTGCTGCACTTCTCTACCTGCCCAGCCCTCTGCCCCCCCCCCC